TCTTGAATGAAACACCATCAAGTAGAACATCTTGGTATTACATGTATATATTAGTGACTAGTCGTTGTTGTGTATAGGACTGCACATCTAACACTGAACAAGTCATTAAGAACTGTGATGGTGTATAAAAAATCATAATTAAAGCATGTAATTAAATCTGTAATCCACAAAGTCTGTATAATAATCTACATAAAAATATATATACACTGAACAAAAATATAAACACAACCTGTAAAGTGTTGGTCCCATGTTTCATGAGCTGAAGTAAAAAATCTGATATTTTCCATGCACACAGAAAGCTTATTTCTCTCATATTTTGTGCACAAATTTGTTTACATCCCTGATAGTGAGCATTTCTCCTTTGCCAATATAATCCATCCACGTGACAGGTGTGGCATATCAAGAAGCTGATTAAACAGCATGATCATTACACAGATGTACCTTTGCTGGGGACAATAACAGGCCACTTTGAAATGTGCAGTTTTGTCACACAACACAATGCCACAGATGTCTCAAATGTTGAGGGAGCGTGCAATTGTTATGCTGACTGCAGGAATGTCCACCAGAGCTGTTGCCAGAGAATTTAATGTTCATTTCTCTACCATAAGCTGCCTCCAATGCCCTTTTAGAGAATTTGGCAGTACGTCGAACCGGCCTCACAACCGAAGACCAGACCACGTGTAACCACGCCAGCCCAGGACCTCCACATCCGGCTTCTTCACCAGCGGGATCGTCTGGGTGGGGGGGGGGAAGGGTTGCTGAAGAAAATCTTTGAAATTGTTGCATGTTGCATTTATATTTTTGTTCAGTATACATACAAACACATAAACAAACACACATACATATATCTATAGGAGTTACCTTCACTCACTGGACAGTTTGTTAGGTACACCCATTTAGTACGGGGTCGGACCCCACTTTGCCTCCAAAACAGCCTGAATTATTTGGGGCATTCTACCAGTTGTCGGAAAAGTTCCACAGGGATGTTGGTCCATGCTGACGAGATGGCATCAAGCAGGTGCTGCAGATTGTACAATGGTACATTCATGGTGCGAACAGCCCGTTCCATCTCATCTCAAAGATGCTCTATTGGGTTGAGGTCTGGGTGACTGTGCAGGCCACTCAAGTAAACTGAACTCGCTGTCATGTTCCAGGCAAAAAAAATTCACTCCTCAATTGTCCAGTGTTGATCGCGTGGCCACTGGAGACGCTTCGTCTTGTTTTTAGCTGATAGGAGTGGAACCCGGTGTGGTCGTCTGCTGCAATAGCTAATCCGTGACAAGGTTCGACAAGTTGTCCATTCCGATATGCCGTTCCGACACACCACTGTTGTACTGCGCCGTTATTTGCCAGTTTGTAGCCCTCCTGTTAGCTTGCACAAACGATTTTTGCCATTCTCCTTCGACCTCTCTCATCAAGCTCTGTTTTCGCCCACAGGACTGCCGCTGACTGGATATTTTTGGTTTGTCGCAACATTCTCTGTAAAACCCTAGACACTGCCGTTCATAAAAAGCCCAAGAGGGCGGCTGTTTCTGAGATACTGGATCCGGCGTGCATGGCACCGACGATTATACCAGATCAAAGTTGCTTAGGTCACTCGTTTTGCCCATTCTGATTTTCAATCGGACAGTAACTGAATGCCTCAATGCCTGTCTGCCTGCTTTATATAGCAAGCCATGGCCACGTGAGTCACTGTCTGTAGGAGCGATCCAGTATCATGAACAGGGGGTGGTGTACCTAATAAACTGTCCGGTGAGTGTGTAAACTAACAGTATTCCGCTTCTTCTTCTCCAAAAGTCAGGGATACCACAAAACCTAACTTTGAACTTGGCATAGGCTTGCATTAAGTTGTATTGTTAATTTGCATTATTTTTTATTTCTCTTTGCTATTTGGGCTTATTGGAACCTAATTAGAATAAAAACTAAGTATCATCTTTTGATATGATGTACTTTTAGAGAAAAATGATGTCCACATATGTGGATTCATGGTCCGAATTTCCATAAAACACAATAAAGTCACCTTTGTGTAATAGAATTAAAAACTCTTCATTTCTGCCTTGAACAGAGCAGTTTTTTTCCTGACTGTTTTTTAATGTATTAATAACACATACACATATTTTTTGAACATGTTTTGACTATCGGAGAGTAAAAATAATATGGAAACATTGCATTTTTGGCCATTTTGGACAGTTAAAAATAGTGTTTGGAACATTTGATATGCTGCAAAATAGTTGCAGGATGACATTGTATGTCTGTAACAAAATATAAAACATTCAAAGCATTTTAAATAGTCACTCTTGCATTAGGCTACTAATGTGTTTTGAACATCATAGTGAAAAAAAGAAAAAATAGTAGGTGAGTAGCTCATGTGACATTTTGCATTGGTAATGTAAAAAAGGGAACATGTTAAAGGCTGCGATAACTGAGCACTGAAGGACCAGGCCTGCTTTCAGAGGCCCAGAGGTCACCTGATTGATTGACCTTCACGGAGTCGGAGAACATGGAGGAACCAAGGAACATGTACACACCTTGAGAATCACTGCCATCACTTATGTGTGAAAGGCTGAGTAACAGTTGCGCTCGGTTTGCAAGCACAAGAACACTTTGCAGGTCATACAACGCACTCGGGTTCTTCCAGTGCAGCCTAGTTGTCTGCAGCGCATTGCATTCTTCAGGCCGATCATCTCTGGGAGGTGGGCATTAGCCCTCCTACGGACCGAGACATGGGACCATGTACAGCTTTTTAGCTGCATCAGAGCTAGCTTTTTTCCCATTTTACGTGTGTGCATGTTTACAAGCATATTAGCTGTTTCGAGGAGCCTCAGTCCAAAAGTACACTTACGTGTACTTCATGTTTAGCGACCTACAAAGCTAGTTTCATTTGTGTTTTGTTTCAGTTGTGTTTGTCTAAACAAAATAGTCCTCAAGATACCTTACTTAAGAGGACATTACTAATTAGTAGTAATGGACATATATTTACATTTTTAGATCTGCTTTTACGTCTAGACTGACTTTTGTGTTCTTGTGTGGAAGCTATACATAAACTGTGTGTAAGCTGCCCAATGCCTTAAGAGATACAGGCGCCACAATTTGACAATGGTTGCAACACGGTCTCAGAGTATTTCGTATTAATCTGTATGTAAATCCAAGACACTCCATTTATTTGTATATGTTACGTTTGGCATGGTTACATAAAACAGATGGTTACTTAAGGCAAAACATTTAAGTAGGGTAGTTGGTCGGGGTGGATGGGTTGCGAGTTCGAATCTCATCACGGATCTCAAATCTCATCACAGACAACGTTACAATTTTTGTTAATTAGAAACTTTTCAACTACTTAGCATGTTACCTAACCCTTCCCCTAACCTTAACCCTTTAAGTTAACCCTTCCCCTAACCCTAACCCTAACCTTAACCCTAACCCCTAACCCTAACCCCTAGCCTAGCTAACGTTAGCAGCTAGCTAGAATCAGTAACATATAATACTTTCTTCAAATTCGTAACATATTGTATGTTTTATAAATTCTTAACATATTATAAGTTTTGCAAATTCGTAACATATCATATGAAATGGGTGCTGAAGATCCAAAAATGTATACATACCATATGATACGTAACATATCATACTAAATGAGTGTCTCTGATTTACATGCAGAGTAATATGAAATTCTCTGAGACCACGTTGATAGTCTAGTCAACTGGCTAGTGTGAGTGGATGTCAAACATCACAAACTGTTGTTCAAATAGTTTTCACACTGTTGAAGAGAGGACTGAGATGAGATGAAAGCTATGTGAAGAGCATAATACTTTACTACAGTAAATACATTTAGTTCTTTTTCTCCAGGAAATCTGGACTTTAGATTGCTGCAATTTCGACTTTGGTGAGTGAATCTGGTCAGTTTATTTATATGTTTTTTCTTTATTAAATTAGTTTTAAGGTTACTGCAAGAGTTATATATGTTGATTGATACTTGAGGAAACGACCAGTCTTTTTACAATTAATTTATGATAATGTAGGCTCCAGGCTACAATAAATTGCATGCAATTGATCATATTTTGTGAATATAATGGTAAATTATATGGTTGAACACATTGTATATGAATGCTTTGCTGGTTTGCCGGAAACACCAGTCCTGGACTAAAAAGCCAATTCAATAGACATTCTTTATTGATCATGTTTTTTAGTTGAGGACTAGACTTCATCTCTGTCCGGGAAACTGGTCCATAACGTATTAACCATCCCAAAGGTACCATTACTAATAAAACCAATCTTTACAACAACAAAAAACGGTAAAAGTTAATGAGTTTTTATATTTTACTATAATTTTTTTAACCCAAAAAACAAACAACATTAGGACCTATTGTCAGGATCTCTACAATGATATTGATAATGGTTGTAATGGATCAAAGAATTTAATCAACTCAAAAATCTAATACAATTTGATTTGTCACTTGCGACGAATACAACCTTACCGTGAAATGCTTACTTACAAGCCCTTAATCAACATTGCAGATTTTTAAAAAAAGTAAGTAAGAAAATGTTTGCTAAAATAAAAACTTCAATAATAGTTTCATGCTTTTTACTATGTTTATTCCATTGCAGTAAATAAGGGTTCAAGTTAGTGACCTTTTAATTGCGATCCTTGGGTTATGTTTTAGATATACCATTTTCACTGCTCATCCATCTCACCTGTGGACAATCCTCATTAAATAATATGGTAGTAAATGCCTAACAACAAGTTAACTGGAATAAATTATACTGTTTGCAAGCAGGCACAGTATACTTGTGGTTTGCTGTTCACACCAGGCATGCACTGCTTACAAAAGTGTCAAAGTCTGTCACCCTGACAAACAAGCACGCTTTCTTGTCTACAAGCTTCTCTTTCATTTGTAGAGTATCAGCACATTATGATCCGTTCACATCAATTCACACAGTTTTGATGGTACTGCTCCTGTGAGACTTCTGCTAAATGTCACTCCTCTTGTGCAGGCTGAAGAGAAATGGATCCTCTGATTACTATAGTTCTGGTGGTGACAGCAGCAGCAGCACAAGGTGAGACATGATATAACACAGAACAGAGTATAAGGCCTAGCCAAGACTTAATAAGACACTAACAACAATGATGCTAATTGTTGAACATGTTCTGCTAATTCAATTTTACATTTATTTGCTTCTATAGTTACCAAATGTAAAAATAAATTTAAAAAAGCCCCAAAAAAGCCCAAATCTATAAGAGTGGGTCCACTAAAAACAAGTGTTAAATAAATAATTAAAACTGAGATATATAAAATATTTGCATTGCATGAATGTGATTATATTGTATTGTGCTTTTGTTATATTTTCATTAAGAAATATTTCCACTTGAATGCACCTTCAGACTTACATTTATGCAAAACAGACATACACTTACATACTGACCTAAGATCATTGCTCCACAGTTAGTGCCATGGTCTGTAATCTCTCTCAAGGGAATGGAACTCACCAATGCTATGGGGCTTTGGGAGAATCGTTGTCCTTACACCTTGGTTCACACATTAGCAATGACCAAATAAGCTTGAAGAAAGGTGATAAACGTGTTCTAAACTTCAAAACTGGAGAAGACTGGAGATCTAAATTGCCTCAGGATTATATGAATCGCTCTCAGTTCATTAATAATGGAACATTCAGACTGGACAGAGTTATAGAGGACGACTCTGGAGATTACCAATTGGAAATACATAATTCAGAGGGAACAATGATGCTCAGAGTCAACATGCTACTGGTGATACAAGGTAGGAACCTTTTTGTTTTTTAATTCGACCTAAATACTTCACGCATCCTTTTCCTGGTGAGGGAGATTTCTGAAAGGTCACCAGGGTGTCAGTACTTCAATAGGTTTATAATGTAGGACTTGGCAGCAGTAGTACAACAGAGAGAGTATATTGTTACATCATACAATACTTTAGATATAATGTTTGCATGAATCAGAGGTAGGGTATTTGAGTGATCTCTTGTGTTTGTGTCTGTCAGCCCCGGTGTCAGAGCCAGTGTTGTCTCACCTCTGTCTGCCTCATGGAGAGACCGTGGTCACATGCTCTTCAGAGGGAGATGGTCTTCAGTACAGCTGGACCCTGAACGGCCAGAATCTGACCAGGAGTGTAGCCTATGACGTCTACCAGAACAGTGTCATCACGTTGAAGAGTGATGTGACAGGAACCCTGACCTGTATGGTTCAGAATAATGTTAGCAGCAGCAACTCTACTATTGATCTCACCTTGGCCTGCCCAGGTAATGTCAGGACAGTTGACTTAATTCCCACTTTTTGAATTAAGAGTACAACTCTGTTTCATTTGCATGGTCAACAAGTGTTGTGTCCTGATGTTTTCTTTCTAGTTGTCTCTTCCCAGTTTCCTTTTGTAGCTGTGCCAGTGGCTCTGACTGTTGGAACTTTCACATTACTTCTTGCACTGTTTGTCGGTATTAACCATCTATGCAAGAAACGAAGATCCAGATTTGATACTTCAGGTAAAATGTAAAAAGTAATTTAGTTTCTCGTCCAGAACGTACATTTGAAATGTTGAATAAACATGACATTTTGTTTCATGTCCAGATTGTACAACAGCTTTCCTTTCATTTTTCAGAAAACGGTGATGAGGGTGTTGTATACACTGTTGTGAAAATAGGCAAGCAAAGAAATCCAGCAAGGAAGCAGAGGCCCCCAGCCACAGAGATGGTGGTGTATGGACAGATCAAAATGGCTGTGAACCCGGATGTGGCAGCCAGCCCATAGACTCAAGGGTAGACATTTTATCCACATGTAGCTTTATAAAGCAGATATAAGACAAGGGTTGACTGAACATTATGTGGATGCACTGATTGAGTACATCAGACAGACCATCAAACTTAAAGACTAGTGCCAAATCAACACAACAAGATGACATCATGCATCGTGCAACGAATGCAAAGAAGATGCACTGCATGTAGTTTTGAGTTTGTTAACATGAATAATAATCTCATTTTGAATTGCTTATTGTACAATGGTATAACAAATTTAAAGTATTTAAACTTTTCCTTAACCATGCTATCAATTGATCTGTATTTCAATGTTTGAATGGATCCTCTCTAGAGTGCTGGCAAGTCAGAACTTAGCTCTACTGCTAGAGAGAAAGCATGTGAACATTTCCTTTGAAACTGAGCTGCAATATCATACTGTAAATGTAATGCTTTCTTTCTTTTGAGGCATCCATGTTGTTGTACCAATGTTTATTTGTGTTCAAATACTCATTTACAATTGTTATATAATATATTGTTAATGAGGGGCTGTAAAGAAATAAAGGCTTGTACATCTTTTACATTGTTTAAAGTATTTAGAGCTGTTCATGTGTGATTTCTTACATATATTGTTGCAGTGATAATTCAAAACAATTATATTGGTAAGAGAATAAAAGATAAGACAAAACTGTTTTTAGTTGTATGTATGAAACAAAGTTGTGGAAACTCAAGAAATCAAGTTAAGTTGACAAAATTTAACTTTTTAAGACAATGGGTTAAATCATATTTTTAAGATGTTTACTCGACAATGTAATGACTTTTGTATGATCTGTTATGGAGGTGTGAGGACCCCCGGTGACACATCAGAGAGCACCATCAATGTAAAGTATTGGGCAGTTTGAATGTGAAACTTCAAAGTGCACAATATTTAATTGAATCAGTCCTTTTGAACCAGTCAATGTCTCCCTGTGAAAATGTATCTGTGTAATAATAAGATGATTGAATGTGATGACCCACAACAGATAATTGAGGAAGACGATCGTTTTTTCTGAAATCATACAATTATATTGCTAATGTATTGCTATTTCAGATATTAGATATTTCAGTATTACTATTCCTCTTCCTGCTTCAGTGCTGCTGACACTTACAGCTGGTCCAAAAATCCCTTGTTCTCATCAAACTACATGAAGGAAAATGGTAGTGAATGATAACTCACAATGTGTAATAAGTTACAACTTCTGTTTTTGCAAACAGGTACTTGTGGTTGGGTGTTCACACCAAGCAACGTGTGACATAAAGAAGTGTTCTCTACCTGACACGACAGTAAGTTGTCTTGTCAACAAGCCTGTCTTTCATTTATATTTATTTCATAAAATGCAATGTATACATTTTTACATTAATCCTGTAGCTTAATTCACTCTTCTTGTGCAGGCAGAAAATAAATGATCCCCTTGGTAATTTTAGTTCTGTTGGCCAAAGCAGCAGCACAAGGTAAGACATTATATTACAAAGATTATAATGAAATCTATTGTATTGAACATGAGCTCAGCTATGGTAGGATCCAAAAAGGAAATCGCAAAAAAAATGGTAATCGTTGAAAATGTTCTGTGAATACCAATTGACATTTATTAGTCAGTTACTGTAGAAAATCCCCTCTCTTAGCCTCCATTCAAAGACACTAGCTATGAGACACTTTCCACTAGCAGAGAGCAGAGGTAATGGGGGGGATGGAATTTCCATTGTTTACAGCTACTCTGCCCCCCAACTTTCACACCCTTGCTCCTGGAACATTCCGTTGCTAGGGGCAACTCTGCTGAGCAACTCAACTGACAGGGGTCAGCCAATCACAGGCCCTATCTGGTGGGGTAACAGGCCCCTTTCCTGCCTGTTTCTTTAGTTGAGCTTAGTGTTGCAGAGAGATTGGCATGTGCACAGATATGGGTCTACCTGTGCCCAAGCACCTGCCCCTTTGTCCTCCCACTTACCAAGTGCCCTTTTGTTGGCACTATCCTAAATTAGCCATGGATGGAGATAGGGATTTACTTCATTCTGCGTACTGGCCAATGATTAACTTAGGCATGACATGCCAGCAACAAACGCTGACACTTCACATCCAAGTATATCTGACCAAATTATGAAAGACAAGCATTGTAATTTTGAATTCCGTAAAGTAAGTGTGGAAGAGGTGAAAAATGTGTTATTGTCGATCAACAATGACAAGCCACCGGGGTCTGACAACTTGGATGGAAAAATACTGAGGATAATAGCGGACGATATTGCCACTCCTATTTGCCATATCTTCAATTTAAGCCTACTAGAAAGTGTGTGCCCTCAGGACTGGAGGGAAGCAAAAGTTATTTCCCTACCTAAGAATAGTAAAGCCCCCTTAAATGGCTCAAATAGCCAACAAATCAGCCTGTTACCAACCCTTAGTAAACGTTTGGGAAAATTTGTGTTTGATCAGATAAAATGCTATTTCACTTTCAACAAATTGACAACAGACTTTCAGCACGCTTATATGGAAGGACATTCAACAAGCACAGCACTTACACAAATGACTGATGATTGGCTGAGAGAAATTGATTATAAAAAGATTGTGGGGGCTGTTGTGTTAGACTTTAGTGTGGCCTTTGACATTATCGATCATAGTCTGTTGCTGGAAAAACTGTATGTGTTCTGGCTTCACACCCCCTGCTATATTGTGGATAAAGAGTTTCCTGTCTAACAGAACACAGAGGGTGTTCTTTAATGGAAGCCTCTCCAACAAAATATTTCAAAAACTAAAAGCTTTGTATTTGGGACAAATCCTTTACTAAACCCTGTACCTAAACTAAATCTTGTAATGAATAATGTGGAAATTGAGCAAGTTGAGGAGACTAAATTGCTTGGAGTAACCCCTGGATTGTAAACTGTCATGGTCAAAACATATTGATACAACAGTAGCTAGGATGGGGAGAAGTCTGTCTATAATAAAGCGCTGCTCTGCATTCTTAACAGCACTATCAACAAGGCAGGTCATAAAGGTCGCACCTGGAGTACTGTTCAGTCGTGTGGTCAGGTGCCAGAAAGAGGGATTCACAGTCCCCAAGTCAAGAACAGACTATGGGAGGCGCACAGTACATTTGTACATTTTACATTTTAGTAATTTAACAGACACTCTTATCCAGAGCGACTTACAGTTAGTGCATACACTTTTCATACAGTACTACATAGAGCCATGACTACATGGAACTCTATTCCACATCAAGTAACTCATGACAGCAGTAAAATTAGATTAAAAAAACAGATAAAAATACACCTTATGGAACAGCAGGGACTGTGAAGCAACACAAACATAGACACATGCATACAAACACACGATAACATACGCACTATACACACGTACACATGGATTTTGTGTTATAGATATGTGGTAGTAGAGTAGAGAGAGGCCTGAGGGCACACACTTGTTGTGAAATCTGTTCTAAATGTATTGTAATGTTTTTAAAATGTATAACTGCCTTAATTTTGCTGGACCCAAGGAAGAGTAGCTGCTGCCTTGGCAACAGCTAATGGGGATCCATAATGAATACAACTACAAAAGATTATAACGGCGATTCTGATCCAACCATTAATTCATACATTGTTGTTGCCCCCTGGTCCTGAGAGGATTGGAAGTTCAGTAGTAGCCTAGATGTAGAAGGACTAATGGTAACTAGCTCTAACGTTGCCCATGAATGGAAGTTTAGGCTAGGCGAGCAAGCCTTTTAGCCAGGTGACCGAGGACAAAAATCATAAGAACGTGTACTGTATGACAGAGTTTAGCGTTTCAACATAAAAAGGAGGATGGCCTGTTTTCTACAGTGGGTGGTCAACATAACTTTAGAACAAGCGCGCGCACACCACACACACACACACCCACACACACGAAGGAATAGAACTTCACAGCCAATCAGATTTAGTTTCCCAGGATTTAACCACTACGTATGCCCTACCCGTTGCTGCCCGGTAGAAGCTCACATGACTCGGTGTGCAATTATCTGCCTGCAGGTATGGAGTGCACAGCCAGTATCAAATGCAGGTTGAGAGCACGTTCTGTAGGACTATGTTAAATATACTGCCACGCAGCTAAGATTTGAAACACATTGTTTATGATTCATTTTTCAACCAGTTGAAACAGTGATTAGCCGTGTGTGCCCCATGAGATGGCCCATGAGATGGCTGAAAAGAGAGAAGACTCTAGTCAGTCTGCTGTAGGCTACCAACATATGTTATCAACTTCCAAATAGGCCTATTGAGCCAACATTGTTAGCATATGATAGCAAAATGTGTAGAACAGCAGGAAACTAGTAGTCCGGCCCCGCTCATTTTGCACAATGCGTGTCTCCACACACCTAGTCCTAGGCTATTAATGGATTCAAGACAAGGTCGTTTTCATTGATCTCAGATTCTCAGTGTCAAAGCAGCCTGTTTCGATCATTTGTGCGGTATTCAAAAATATTCTGCCAGTCTCCAGTCATGTAAAATGAAGTAGAATTACCCTAGGCTACTAAAAACCTTCCCCATGTGTACAACTTCTGTAAAGGCTTTTCCTCTCCTTCTCTTTGCCTCTACGAGAATGCCATGATATGCATGCAATGCTTTATTATAAAGGTGCAATTTATTTTTCATGCGTTACAGTACCTCAGAGTTCAGTTGATGTATAGTTAATCTGTAAATGTCATAGGTTCTTATTACTATGTTAGTAGATGCTTATACATACTTATTTCACTGTATATATGGTAGTAATTCATGCCTGGGTACTAGCCATTTTACTTACTCCTGTTTATCTGGACATCATGGCATCATTTATGTGTGTCTTAGCTATTCAGACCATGAGGTAAAATCTCTCCCCATTAGTTACTCTGGGTCAAGATGGCTGCCAGCCAGTCATTGTTCACCCTCACCCAAAATGGCCAGCCTATGACGTCATCATGCCCCTGTCACTTGCTAGCCACATCCAAATGTCTGCTAGTTTACATATTAGCATTCTAGCATGCT